CTTATATGAACTACTTAAAATAAACTGGTGGAGAATAATAAAGAATTTCAAAGAATACAACTATAGTTAATATGTTACCTGATATCATTCTTATCTCACTGCAACACAAGCATGTATTATTACACAGGCTATGTGAATTCTAGAGAATTATAAGCAATTTTGATGGAACAGTAATAGTTTCAAAGTCTTGTGTGGGTATGCAACTACATCTGTTCTGAATCGGAAGATCTATATTTAAGGAATATACCAAAGAGAATCCATCTAGCCAACGGTCCATGAACCCTAACCAGGTACTTTACTTTTACTCGGAGGAAAAATCCGTCCGTCCATTTTCATCCAATAGCGACCAAGGTTTTCAATCCACCGGCATTCCCATCAATCGATCGCACTCCCAAGTTTTCCGAGGTAAGAAGCCCAGCGATTCCAAAAGCTCGCGGTCCCTTGCCCAGCATTTGGGCAACACCCAGGATCACGATCACTGCAAAGAACAGAGCAATGGGGTCACTCGATCGCCACCAGAGAACGGTGCTCCTTCTGGCTTCCATGCTCGCCATCGCCGCCGCCAAGTCCTTCATTCAGTCTTGCAACTCCGCCTCGCAGTGCTCCTCGCTGGTGGCCTACAGGACCCCGGCGGCGCAGAGCCTGGGCGCCATCGCCGCGCTCTTCAACATCGACACCGTCTCCCTCCTCGCCGCAAACAACCTCGACTTGCGATCCTCGCTCGACCCGGGCTCTCCCCAGCTCGTCATCGCGCCGCGCCGGATCGTCAAGGTCCCGATCTCCTGCTCCTGCGTCGATGGCATCTGGCGCGGCAATGCCACCCTCTACAAGTCCCGCCCCGGCGACACGCTCGCCTCCATCGCCGACGCTCTCTTTGGGAAGCTCGTCACCGCCAAGCAGATTGCGCAAGCGAATGGCATCGCCGCGAACTTTGGTGGCGCGGTTGCGGCCGGGTCGACGCTGGTGATACCATTCTCGTGTGGATGCGGCGACCCTCTTGCCGGCGGTGGCACCGCGCTGCTCATGTCTTACGTGGTGCAAGGCGGCGACACGGTTGGCGAGCTTGCCCGGGAGTATGGATCGTTGCCGGGCGATTTCATGGCGCTCAATGGCGTCGCCAATGCGTCGGAGCTCGCGGCCGGGGACGTGGTTGCGGTTCCTATCCGAGGTAACGTTTGCTCTTCTTCGTGTTCTTCGTGTTCTTATAGCTTCCTTCCATGGTTTTTTTTATTGATCGTGCGTTGGATTAGCTTGTGGATCGAGTTTCCGTCGCAGCGCCTACGATTTTGGCCTCGTTGTGGCGAATGGAAGCTACATCATCACGGCTGGTCATTGCGTCCAGTGCAGTTGCTTGCCGAATCTCCAGCAGTAAGATCACGGATCACCATCTTTGTTTGCTTTCTTGCGCATTCAAAACTTTTGCTTTTTCTTCACAGTTCCTAGAAATATTTTTCTCGCTCTTTTCTTCTATGCATCGAGCAAATATTCGTAGCTATCGTCTTCACAGCCTTTTTTTTTTCTTCATGCATCGTATATCATATGCGCGTGCTTTTCCCAAGTTTTCATTGCATCGGCTGCAAAGCTTTCTCGCTTTCGTTTTCGATCACTTCCAATTTTTCTAAAGATTACTAGCTAGCAAACTTCATTGATCATTTCATCTCATATCATTAGTTTCTCTTTTTCTTTCAGTTGCATCTAGCAAATTTCTTGCGCCTCCTTTCTCGATCACTTTGAAACTTTTCGATGATCGCTAATGATACTTCCTCCGCAGAGTGTATTGCACGCCAGCCCCGGGGGTCATCAGTGGATCCTGCCCGGACATGAGATGCCTGGGAACGAACCTCACCGTCGGGGCCATGGCCACCGCGGCATCCGTCCAAGGCTGCAACGTTACGTCCTGTCTCTACACCGGCTTCAAGAAAAAAATCATCCTCTCCAGGTACTCAAGACCTTTCACGCAAAACTCGATCAAAAACTCATTTTTCTCTTTGAATCACAGCTTACAATCGGTAATTCTAAACTCATGTCCAGGTACTACGACGTTTTTCATGACTTTTTTCTTGGTTGGCCCTTTGCATTTAAAGCTGATGTTGGATATCTGGAACTTTGTAGCTCCACCACCTCCACCAAGCTATAAATCCGCCGGTGGCTCGCTTGCTCTTCCGCCAGCCGCGGCTCCCGGATCCTCAGGCCTTACAACGCCCGGCGTCACCATCCCTGCCAGCGGCAACTCGGCCTTCGCTCCAGGGCCTTCTACCGCGGCTGCCGCAGGAACTTTCTCGCAAATCCGGTTTGGATCTCTATCTCTCGTCTTGTTGCTGGTGGTTTTGATGATCTAGTATGAGTGACCATCGCGATCTAGATATGTCATCAATCCTCCAAAAGTTTTGCCAACAAAATCGGAGTGTTATGATCTTGTCACTCACTAGTACAACAGTGTTCTTGAGTATGGGACCCTGCTTGTCCATCCAATGGATTAACTTGGACGGTGATCTTCGCTTCCAAGTGTCGAGTGGACACTACTCTTTGTTTTTTTTCCTTTATATTCCTGAAGTTCTTGTGTTCTTCCGCGACTCATTGATGAGAACTTAAAGCACCGCCAAGATCCAGGCTCTTTTTGGTGCCGACGCTTGGAAATCACTGATCCTTGTCTTGATTTGCAACCCTCCAGGGAAGAATCTAAGATCTGACTGGGAGTTTGCGTAGAGGTTAGTGATTCTTGTCTTAATTCGCCAGCTCGTTAGAGTGGAAGATTTTTTCTCGCTCGCGTCAACAAGGACAAGCGGCGTCCAAAGAATCTTCCACACACAAACTAAACGATGCTTCCTTTCGACTCACGCGTACTGTAAATCGTTTTCCTGACGATGATGATAATCTAAACACTGGATTCGTTTGGATTGGATCGAAACACTGGTGGTGCCACTGATCATAGGATCCGCTCTCCATTGTTTACTTTGTCTAGAATTTATTTTTCTACAAAATCGCGTTTTCGCGTCCATGGCCTCTCAAAGTGGACTTCTTCGAAAGTCAATGTTTTCTTAAGATTTGCCTAGGATAATCATGCGTCGTTAGTGTAAAACTAATACATGGATGGAAAAAACGTGTGCTCCATGCTAGCCGCCAGTTAACTCCCAAATGCGAACTTTTATTGACAGCCACACGATGAGAAATAACTGACAGATAGTTCCGTTAGATCTTTCACACTTGGAAATTCTTTTTTCTAGAAATTTCATGCAGGACAAAAACGTGGCGCATTGCTACACGCCCACGTGTGCATTGGTATCTGGCCACACGAAAACCAAGTCTTCCGACCACCCAACGGCAGATCTATGCCGTTCAAACATGACCCTACATTCCCTCCACGGAATTTCAAACGAACTGGGGCCGTTGATCTTGACCACGGAATGTCGCGACACACAACACGCGATTCCAGTGCCTGGTGAAACAGGGAAAGTGGCCGAGGCGTTTAAAGCCCGTCTTCCTCTCACTCTCTCGGTCGCTGGCTGGCCCAAGCATCGCATCACTCGATTGCCGATCGCAATTTTGCTTTTCTTCGCCGACTGATCGATCGATCCACCGCATATATTCGCTTGCGGTGTGCGCATCTTCCACTCTACGCCCCTGTTCTTGGTTCTTGATTAGGTGATAGAAAGAAAGCAAAGAAAGGAAGGAAAGATATAGCCCAATTGCCCACTTCCTCGTGAGGAGATCCTCCTTTCCTCTTATCTGGGTCGCCAATTGGCGGCGGATTCCTCCCTTTGGCTCATCTGGGCTCTCAGCCCGATCGATTTCTCGGCATGGGCAATCCCTCTTTCTCCTCGGCGGGCGACAAGGGCGCGGATTCCACCGCCAGGCAAGTCAATTCATCGTCCAGGGGGACCAGCTCCTCGCCAATCCGGAGGCTGTCGGCGTCGAATCTGCAGCAGTGGAGCTCGGGCAGCAGCGAGACGATCTTGCTCCACGGCCAGGTCGCCAAGCTCCGGATCGAGGAGAGGTACATGAGCGAGGAGGTGGAAACAGAGGGTGTGGAGAGGCTGGCGCTCAGCCAAATCCTCAAGGAATTCTCGGCGGCCACGGCCGCGGCAGCGCAGCAGCAGCACGAGGAATTGATCCGGCCGGTGCTCATGCCATCGCCGCTGGGGCTCCAGCGGACGTTCGCGGCCTCTGGATGAAAGAATCTCCCAAATCCCCCTCTAGGATCATAAAAAGGGAAGCTTTCTCATCTTCCCTTGTTCTCGGGGGAGAGCTTTGTAAATTATGGTGACTTCTACACAGCAGCAGCATAGGATCATAGCGAGCGAGCGAGCGAGCGAGCGAGAATTTGGTCTGGGCGGGCGTTGTAGCTTCCATGGATCACTCACAGGAAAGAGGGGAAAAAAAAAAAAAAAACAAAGACCCTGTTTTTACTAATTGTTTTCTTCTTCTCAGTGTTAGTGTGATCTAGAGAGAAGGTTCCATGTACACAATTGACAATGCCCGGAAGATCATCCTTTTCCATCTCTCTCAATAAAAAGGAAATCTCACTCGCTTCATCGCTATTGATTTGATTTGAGAACTTCTCGTTTGTTTTTTTCTCTCCCACGTGTTTTCGTACGGTGAGAATATCCCGGAATCTTCCCCTTTTTAAAGGTAGCGCTGCTAAAGGAGATCGAGCGAAGAGGAGAGAGAAAAAATGCCGTGCTTGCTCGCGCTTCGCTGCGAGATTGCCACTCACAGTCCGCATGAATCGGCTGTGGATCCAAAGCGGTGGGCGATTGGAGCGAATCCGGCAGCATTGCGGAGCCTCAATCCAATCCGGAGAGCGATGGAATCCATGCCGACGGTCCAGGGGCGAGGAAAGAAGCCAATCTCGCTCACTCTCGGCGACCCCTGCGCTTTCGGCGAGATCAAAGCTCCCCAGGTAGCCGTCCAGGCGCTCACGGACGCCATCTCCGGCTTCCACTACAATGGCTACAGCCAAGCAGCTGGAATCTACGACTGCCGCAGGTAAAGACAGATTAAAAAAAAAAAAGAAGAAAAAGAGCACTGTTAGATCGACGAGATAGCAACTAGAACTTCAAAGTCATACCTTTTTTGTGATTCTGTAAGCTTTTCTTCCAGCGCGGTGGCCGAGTTCCTTTCCAAGGATCTACCGTACTCGTTGTCAGCCGATGACATCTTCATGACGGCCGGGTGCTCGCAGGCGATCCAGTTTTGTATCGGGGCGCTGGCCAACAGCGAAAAGCCGTCCAACATGTTGCTCCCACGGCCTGGATTCCCGCTGTATCAGTCCTTTTGCAACCTCTTCGGCGTTGAAGTTCGCGAGTATGATCTGCTTCCAAACAGCGACTGGGAGGTTGATCTTCGAGGCGTTGAGAGGCTGGTGGATCCGGATACTGCTGCGATAGTCCTCTGCAATCCCGGGAACCCCTGCGGATCTGTCTACACCCCGCATCATCTGACGCAGGTGTGAAAAAGTCCTCGCGTTTCGCTCTCGTGTGTTCTTCCGCTGCCTGTATTGACTTGAGAGAGCTTTTCACCTTTTCACCTTCTCACCCGCTGTCCAGGTTGCCAAGCTCGCGGGGAAGCTTCGAGTGCCGATAATCGCTGACGAGATCTACGCTCATATGGCCTTCGAAGGATCAAAGTTCGTTCCGATGGGAGCCTTCGCGTCTCACGTTCCTGTGTTGACAGTCGGGGGGATTTCCAAGCGTTGGTTCGTCCCTGGCTGGAGGCTTGGCTGGCTTTCGGTGTGTGATCCCGACTGTGTCCTCAAGGAAGCAAAGGTCGTTCGATATAACTTTCCTTTCGGTTGCTGAAATCTCCATTATGATCTTCCCAGGTGCTGGACGCCTTCACAAATCTCGCACAGATGCATCTGTCAACGTGTACACCGATTCAGGTAACAGCGCAGAAAACAAGTTTAGAAAAATGCTACTTACTTTACGTCTCAACAGGCCGCGCTGCCGAAGATATTGCAAAATACTCCACAAGACTTTTTCAGTCAGACTTTGGATACACTCAGCACAAGAGCCGATCTTTGCTACGAGAGAGCTCAGAAGACCCCGGGACTGTCCTGTCCTTCAAAGCCTCGAGGCTCTATGTATATCATGGTAAACGCTTTCTCTCCGGAGTCTGTTTTTCAAAACGTTCCATGCAGATTAGAATCGATTCAGACAAGTTCAAAGACCTCAGAGACGATAAGGAGTTTGCGTTGGCTCTCGCGAAGGAGGAAGCACTCGGGGTATTACCAGGTACAGTGCCTTCAATAAGATATAGCGTGTATGCTTAATGATTTACTTGCGTCCAGGTTCTGCTTTCGGTTTTCCTGGTTGGATCCGCCTCTTGTTTGCTGCTCCTGAGACTATTCTGGATGAAAGTTGGGATAGACTCGAAGCGTTCTGCACACGACATACAAAATAGTCAAGAGAAAATGTCCACACATTCTTTTCACACAATAAAAAGCCGTGTGTCACCAGTAATTCAGCGTCTACAGTTCTTCTGAGCCACGTTTCGCCATGGTGTTGAGTCCAGAGTTGAACACGGCGCCATCAGTGGACAAGCGCGTGAGGAGAAGGCGTGCGACATTCTCTGCGGCAACAGCGCTCGTCTCCATTGTGCTCGCGGCGTTTTCAAACGAATTGACATAGTAGAGATGATTGCCATCAAGAATGACTGGAGCGAAGGTTTCTGGCGCGTTGTACTGGGGGTAGGCCGCCCAGTTGAGTCGAATGGTTTTCCTTCGCACGCTACACAGCAAATCAGACAAGCCGGGAATTTACTTTGAGGACGGTACCTGAAGAGTTTGTCCAGGAACTCATCGGACAACGATGCTCGGGAAAAGACTTTGTAAGCGTTGTCGGTGGCATTATAGCTCTTAAGAACCGAAATAGATATAAATGGAATGCCGGGCACTTCCAACGTAGCGATTAAGTCCGGTAGTTTTGCATCCTTGAGACCAAAGTAATCCTGCTCGGGCAACATACAAAATACGATCAAACCACAAAATCTCGACGTAAAAACACTTACCCGACTGACGAGCCCACGAACGAATGTAACGAAAGTGTGATGCATCGAGCGTTTGGGAAGATCGACGGATGGACTGAAAACGATTTTCTCTTCGTCTAAGGAGGCGGCAATAATCACGGCGTTGCACGTCCTGTTTTTCCCAGACGAGCTCGTCACCTCGTAGACTCCATCTTTGCTCACGACTGATAACACCGTATCACTTAAACCGAGAGAGGCATTCGAGAGCTTGATCAAACCATCAGCCATCTGCCAGTTCCCGCCTTCAACGGCCCAGAGATCGTCTCCAGAACCACAGAGAGAAACCGCACCGGCCAGGCCACTGATAGAAACATTTTGTCCATAGTTGATCCTTGTTATCATCTGGAATTGCAACGAGTAGTCAGAGACACAAACGAAAAACGCAAAGCAAAGCGTGGACGTACCGTGACAATCTCTGTGATAATCTGGACAGACAATCCTTCTCGAAGGAGCTCACGGACAAGTGTATGCTGCGTGTAACCATAGAGTTCGACAGACTCCAGCATATCCTTAACACTGCTGTACGGGGTCCTTCCCTCGTCATAGAAATGCAAGAATCTCTTCAGAAGTTGCTATAAGAACAAAGAGAGAGACACACACAAAAAAGAGAGTGAGAATCGCCAAGAGGATCAAAGTAAAGGAGCAACAGCTTACCGATACAAAGGATCGCATCCTAAACAAGTCGCTACCATAGCGCCACAGCATCCCCAAGGCATTGATCAATCCAGCAATTTTCTTCGTGATGAACGAGCTCCCACCATCCATAGTCCTCACCACGAACTTCTTCCCATCCCAGAGGCCAAACGTCTCACTGTCGGGCGAGGTTTTCTTCTTTAGACCCAGCAAACCCACGAAATGGACAGTGTGGAGGTTTTTGGGATGGAGAATCGAGGCACCGGCTTCAAATCTATCCCCTAGCAGATCCACCATCGCCATTCTCCCCCCGACGACGCTGTTTCTCTCGTAGACATGGATGTGGAGCTCGTTTTGGGGCCGGCCCGAGTACTTGCGGAGGAAATGAGCTGCCGATGCGCCTCCAATGCCGCTACCTACGATGCATACCTTGGTCTGGCTAGCGTCACACGATCCGAGCGTGACGAGGAGCGCAAGCGCCACGATCGGAGCTCCAGCAAGGGCCAGCATTTCCTTCCGTGAATCTCTAGAACCCTAGGCTAGGTAGCTCTGTATTTTAAAATCCTAATCTCAAGAACCTTATTTCGTGAGGGTTTTGGTTTTTAACTTCTTAAAGAATGGGGAGGGCGATCTTCTTCCTGGTCACGGCCGCGATTGTGATCGCGATGAAAACGATTGCTACTTTCCTCAACAGCGGCGACGGCGCCACGATCAGCTACGCCGGACCCGGCTTTGTCCGCGAGGGATGCCAATGGGACGCGAACAACGAGCGATTTCTCGTGTCTCGATTCGAAGGAGGAATCTCGGAGCTGGTCAAGACAGATCTAGGCTACGAGCAGCGGTTAGTCGTGGATCTGGAAGGAGATTTCAAGGGGAATTCGACGCTCGGCATCCGCGTCGATCCGCCGAGGAACCGGCTGCTAGCGGTGGTCGCCGATGCATGGAACCAGAAGCGCGCGGCTTTGATCGCCTACGATCTGGCAACGTGGGAAACGCTGTTCGTGACGAATCTTGAGAGTCCTGGTAAGTCGTATCGATCTTTCTGGCGCGATTTCTCGTAATCTTTCCTCATCGATCTATCTTCCTCGATTCGTCGATCTTTCTCCCTGGAAATCTTCCCTCGTCGATCTGTCTTCCTCGATTGATCTTTGCTTCTTTCTCTCTGGATTTCTCCCAATCTTTGCCCCTAAGTTCTTGAAATTTCTTTGGCAGGAGATCTCCTCTTGGCGGACGATGTGGCTGTCGATCCCGAGGGCAATGCATACGTGACCGAGGCGCTGGGGAACTTCATCTGGAAGATCGATCGCGACGGCAACAATGTGGCCAATCTTTCCAGCCCCGTGTTCACGTCGAAGCCACACCAGCTCCCATTCTACCTGGCCGGATTGAATGGCATCGACTACCACCCCGACGGATTCCTCCTCGCCATCCACACCTGGTCCGGCGCTCTCTTCAAAGTTTCTCTCGACGGCTCCTCGGTGGAAGTGGTCAAGGCGCCGCTGGTGGCTGGAGGGGATGGAATCGCGCTCCTCTCGCCGGACAAGCTCGTGGTGGCTGGAGTTCCCGGTGCCCGACTGCTGAAGTCTTCGGATGGATGGAAGTCTGCCCGGCTGACGCACACGTACGTTGGGCCATTCTACCGCGTTCCATCGGCTGTGACGATCAAGGATGGCAAGGCCTTCGTGAGTCATATGTTCAGCTGGTGGAACACTTTCACCATCAAAGAGGCCATCTTCGCTCCGGTCCGGCCCAAGGGATCATCTGCCAGTCGAGCGGCCGAGCTCTAACTCCAGGTAACTATACATTTTCTTCTCTTTACGGTTTGATCATGCTTTTTTCGTTGTCAAGGCAGGCCACCTTCTCTCCGTCCGAGCTCGACAAGCCCGCCAACTGCGTGTCCGAGCCCTCCAACTTTCCGGATAACTGTACGTTTTGTTGTTCTATCGGATTGATTCGAATGCTTCTTTTGTCTCTCGTTGTCGAACTAACTTAGTGTGCCCGAGAACACGCTGACCAACGTAAAGATAAAATACAGCCCGATCAAGCATAGCCCCCACGTCCTGGTGACTTGGAACTTCGAGCAAGCGACGACGAGTAGAGATCCCACCAGACCAGTGAACAAAAACCCGAAAGCTATCAGCAAGCTTGGATGGTACGAGAGGTAATACTCCGGGGGCTCGAGATAGGAAGTGTGGAGGACGAGAGCAAAGCCGAGGCCGACGAGCATGTTAAACATGGGACCGGCAAAGCAGCCCGCGATGGCCATCTCGGGCTTCCCGGCTCGAGCGATGGCAATGTCCGCGACCAAGTCCCCCATGGAGTTTCCCCACGCCAGGACCGTCAGGCCCAGCAGAGCCGGAGAGACTCCCAGCACGATTCCCAGAGCCGCCAGGCAACCGAGGAGCTCGCTGGCTACGAAGGAGATCCAGAGCACGCTCATCACGAAGGCCATGAAGGCCACGGGGAACTGCGTGGACTCGGGTGGCTGCTTTGTGGAGACGAAGAAGGCGGCTGCCAGGAAGAGATTTTGGACGAGGACGAGGGACCAGAGTGGGAGCTTGACGCTGGAAGCGAAGAACACGACGGGGTGGTCGATGGGGATCATGGAACGGAACATGACGAGCAGCAGGAGCGGGCAGAAAACGAAGTTGGCGGTGGAGTAGGCTCGGCTCCAGTTGAAAGGATTGATCTCGGGGATAGTGGCTCTGAGAATTACGTGCAAGGGAGCTTGGAGCATCGATCGTATCTGCGAATCGCAACGTCAAGAACTGGAAGATCATAAAAACGCTCGTACCTTGGAAGAGCTGAGACTTGCTACTTTGAAATCCCAGAAGCTGGCGAGGAAATCCTTCCAGGACTTTCGAAACGATTCCTGGCACAGATTCAAGCGCTCGACATCGGCTTCTACGTAGATCTCATCGATCCCGGCTTGGACGAGCTTTTGCGGCACTTGGTCGTGATCCAACTGTGCTTCCCTTGCCAGATCCATGACCACCACCACCACAATGAAAACCGCGTAGAAGCTCACGAATCCCACGGCCTGCCAGAACGTCACCACCCCTTTCATGTAGACCAAGAACACGAGCCCCACGGCCGCCAGGTAGAACACCACGTCTCGCACGAATGGCAGCGGCTTCACGGAGAATGGAGCCGCGACGAGCGCCACAGATCCCACCACAAACGCCGAGACGAAGGTCCCAGCGCTGATGATCGCCCCCAGCCCAATGCGAGAATTCCCACCCCCGATAGCGGCCATGGAGGCGAAGACGTCTGGAGCTCCATTCCCCAGGGCCAGCAGCGTCACTCCCCCCATCGTTGGAGACATGCTAAGCATCTCCACCATGAGCGTTGCCACCGGCGAGAAGAATCTTTCGGCGGTCTCTGCCAGGCAGAAGAAGGCCAGGAGAACAGCGGCGAGGAGGAGTGGTACCGACAGCCAAGATCTCTGATCCAGCGCGCAGTAGTGCAATGAGACGTAGTTGAGGACGCTGCGGCCGTTCTTGCAGTGGAGGCGCGCGTGCTCGCAGCGCCGCCGGGGCGGGAGGTTGTCGATGCTGGCGCAATGCCTGTGATCCTCGCTTGATTCCACAAGCCCTGCCGCATTCTGCCTGGCGGCATTGGTAATCTCACCGAGATACCGCGCATTGCGTGATCTACCTCCAGGAGCCGCGGCGGCGCGCAGGGATTGGAGCTGGGCCGAGGCCGTCCAGACACGGTAGAATCCGAGAACGAGGAGCAGCACAAGCTGAGGGATGACGACGCTAAACCGCCGCCTCGCGCGCGTCCTCCTATCGGAGTCCTCCATCTTGAGAGAAGGGGAAAAGAACCCTAAAGCCCCATTTTAGGATAATTACCTTTGAATTTTATTAAAAATTAAGAATATTTGTCAAAGAAAAATAATTAATCAAATATAGAGAACCCAATTCCGCTAGAAGATATAGCATACCCAAGATAAATAAATCTTTTTTTCTAATTTTACAATGTTAGAAATTTTGATTGTATACAAGGTTAAATTTATATAAATTTTACTACTATTCATCTCTAGAGAAATGTATAATAATGCAAGTGTTAAGGAAGATAAGGTCATTTTTAATCATCATTAAATTTGAATTTAAATTTTTTATTGTCTTTATAAAAAGGTACAAAACCCTAAAAACATAAACAAGATTGCTGCCATGCTTTAAAAGTAATTGAGTTTTCATAAAACTGAAGAATTATAGACTACCAAAAAATAATAAGCTAGTTTGGAGAAATTATAATTTTAATTGCATACTGAGCTAAATTTATTTTATCTCAACTCTAATGATGCCTATAACTTTCATAGTTTACTAAAGAATAATAGAATTTTTATTATGTGTCTGGTTTTACATTTAAAAATAGACATAAGTAAATCTATCTAGATATTCACACTACATTAGAGGTGTTGAAAAGAGGTACATCCAAAGATAATAATTATATGAGAGATATAATGTTTGTATTAAGAAAAATTTGTACTAATGCTTTATGATAAAATTATGCATTCATGTCTCATATATGACATGCTGTCTAATATGGTATAAGTAATCTCATACACATAAAAATATCAAATTCATTTTTTAATAACATCTCAAAAATGACAAACCCTTTTATATTTTCAATTAGTCTTCTTGCTCATAATTTTATTGTAATCTACCAGCAGCTTTACAAGAGTTTTATTGTTGGTCTCAATATTTATACAATGATTTATTTGCTTTGTTAGCTTATGTTATTATTATATAAATGCAATAAAAACATCAAATTCAAATTTAATGATGACAAAAAAAAGATCTTATCTTCCCCAACACTTGCATTATTGTGAATTTCTCTGGATATAAATAGTAGCAAAATTTAGATAAATTTTACCTTGTATACAATCAACATTGTAAAATTAAAAAAGAAGATTTATTTATCTTGGGTATACTATATTTCCTAGTGAAGATGGGGTCTTAGTTAGTACTCTTTATTTAAAGTTGCTATTTAAAAAAGAGAAGTTCATAATTTCAAAATAAAGCACAATACTGTGTCATATTTTTGAGAATGATACAACTCCACTACACAAGATAGAGAATAATATTTTGAAAAATTTATATTAGATATTTAATAAAATATAAAATATTATTACACCTCTAAAACCTTTCCAACCAGAACATGATTTAACAAAAGATCAAGAGTAAGACATTTTATAACTCATAATGCATAAGATAACCACTATGAAAATTCAATGATGAAAAGACAAAATTCTTGGGAAAGAAAAACATAGAATGAAAAAAGTTCATAGATATAAGAATTTAAAATATTAAAAAACTAACTTCTCAAGGAAAGTGTTTTAGGCTAAAATGTAATACAAAAGCTCCCAATTAAATATCCAGATTAATCAAATTAAAGTTAAATAATAAATAAACCAAGCTTTACCAGGATTATAATTAGGTGATCTCATGCTAGTAAGCTATATATGGAAGTCATGATTCCAAAACAATTAAGACATTTTGAAAATTTTAATAATCTGCTATAAGATTGTCTATAGCCAAAACAATTCAAATCATATATAGGTAAAAATAAAAAAAATAAAATTTAAAAATATATATCTATTAAATTATTCAAAACTATTTACTATTCAGTAATTATATAAAGGAGAACATGATTATTCATTAACATAAATTATAAAAATAATAACATTTCAAATATAACAATGGATCCAACACATAACTAGATACATATTAAAATTTTAACATTTTGTATATGATATATTATTTAACATTTTAAAAAACAATATAAATATGTAAATTTTTTCATTTATGTTTTTATTTTAGTATTAAAATTTTTGTATCAAGCTTATCAATTATCAGTAAAGTGTTTTTTCTCTCAATTATTATTTTATCAATTATCCTCTTGCATTCTTATTCTCAATAGTTCTTTATTTTCTTGAAACAAAATTTATATTTTTGATAATTAGTTTTAAATTAAATTAAATTAAAATTATTATAATAGTTCACATTTTGCAATATAAATGAAAACTATAATGATACTGAAATTTTTTTCAAATTATAATAAATCATATTATTGACATATAACACATATACAACAATAATTGTTGAAAAACATTATAAATAATATTTACAGCTATAACTTATATTAATTTTAGGATGACTATTTTAGTAAACTCTAAACTTGAAACCTAAATAAGATTCTGAAAATTGATTAATTAACAATGATTTCTTTTCAAAAATCAGCATTGGGTTTTTTTTACACTAAACTGGGTTTTTTATCACTAATATTTTCTTCAAAAAGCAAAAAAAAAAGTTTTAAATATAAATGCTAATTTATATTTCAAAACAGTAGCACTCTTATAATTTCTTTCTTGCTTGAAATACTTTATTAGCTAGTGTTTTACTAAAACAAATTTAAATTCTAAATATTAATTATTATATTAACATTCAAACTTACTTTTTGGTAATGTTATATATATATATATCATCTTGAAAAATTTATTTATAGCAATTTTATTCTATTGTTGCTATCTTCATCCCTTAGGGCTGCAATATGCAAATTCTAAGTAATACACTATATCCAAAAGTCCTAAATCAAAAGTCACAACTATGTTTAAAAGTCCCAAAGATTTTCACTGAATAAAATGACAGTTTGGGAATTCTTTATGGTCAAGTCAACTAGTGCATTACACTAAGAGTATAACATATCATACCATAATTTTCTTATTAAATATATAAATATAAATGTATGAAAATATTCAATGTTTATAAATAAATGTATGGAAAACATAAAATTACTCATAAAATTTCTCTACATAACTGTTTTTATATATGGAAAAATTTCAAGCAACGAGATCATATGAGTCTAAAATAATTTGAAAACTAAACATCAATTATAAACATAATTAAAATTTTCAATTATTAACATATTAATTAAAAACATAGATGTAGAATATTATCATATAT